CAGTAAGAAGGCACAGCGAGTAGGTCCATATCGCCCAAGGACCGTCGGTCCAGTAGATCGGGAAGACAGGATAGAACACCACCCAGGTCAAGCAGGACGACTCGAGAGTCATCCAAGGACAAGGATGACAAACCCAAGGCAAAGACGAGTGACAACAAATCTAGGGCTGGCACAAAGCGAAGCATGGAGAAAGAAAACAAAAGTAAGGTCAAAAAGGAGCCACAGGAAACAAAAGCAGGGAACAAGTACGAACAAAACCAGGATTATGACATGGGCAGTCCTAAATTTTCTCCCGAACCAGAGTCGGACCCCGAAGAACCAGTCGCAAAGAGATTCCGCTCAGCTGATAGGGACTTTCCAAGGTATGGTCATTACGTTTCTGTTGTATGCAGTAAATGTAGCTAATGCCTTTAATAATGTTTCTATTGTAACAATTCTGTAGTTTGGGTACAACTTTTGGTGTTATTTGGTGTGATACTAACAGGAAGCTTGCTTCCAACTCAGGAGGGCCTGGCCCTTGCCCCTGCAATCAAATGTGAGGCAGGAACCTCAAGCCAGACGACCGTCCATCAGCTCACTGCCAAGAATCCCCAGGAAGCCAGCTGGAACACCTTCAAGAAGACTCAGCATCGATCCTGATCTTAAAATCCCCAAGGAGCTCACTCTGGAGAAACAGCAGCAGATCTTGAAACAGGTACACTGTACATTTTTTACGCCTTGATCATTTTGTTACTACCCATGTTACATTAGGTTGTGAGGTAAGGTAAGGTAATTAGGACAGTTTACAGTTAGGATGGATCACTTTTGTCCTTCAACACTGTTATTTGTGAATGTTAACTGTGACTGAATGTACAATATATTTTGCCGTTAATTTTTACTGCCCATCAGTGTAACACACCAGCTTCTTTGACGTATAGCCTGACAGCAGCTGGTAATATTAAACAGAATGACCTGCCACTTTTAATCTTTGCACACCAAACTGCAAGTATTGGTAAAGCTATCTAGTAGGATGCCCCAAACAGTGCTTTGTGCTAATGAGTTTCACAGTTACATAGAGTACGTAGTTCCAAGTTGCGTAGATTATCTTGAAGGAGAAAAATTAATTCCTGAAGACTTCAGTTCTAGGTTCATGACACTGCTTCTTGTAGCCAAGAGTCTCATGACTTGTTCTTTGTTTTCTGCCAAGGCTGAGGAGCAGTTTCGGAACAATCAACTTTCCCACGAACAGTACCAGGAGATGTTGAAACAACTTCACGAGCTGTATGAGCTGCAGAGGCTAAGGCAGCAGCAGATGCAACAACGTGGGGATGGACAGGTAAGGGACATCCATACAACTTTGGTCAATTTGTCTTTCATTCCTAGGCCACAAAGTCTGAAAATTAAGATTTTGTCATGTGTTTTTAATAGTAAAAAGTTAATAGCAAAGGCATGCCAAAGGCAAATTGCAAGCATGGGTAACATAGACATAATTGTTTATTTGATCATATTGACAGTGATTTTAAGAAGTTTCAAGTAGTTCCTACAATGTACAATGTACAATGTACTATGTACTAGACATTCACAATGTACAACAAACTAGTTTGACTTCTTATATTATTAGGCAATGGAAGACGAATTTACCCACTTCAAGAATTTACCCACTGTCAAGAACAGTGAGAAGTAAAAATGTCTTTTTGACACATTTGTAAATAATTGATATTTGATTGGTCAGGTCTTAAGGCTGGAGAGAAGAGAAGATGGTGTGAGAGGAGGGCGGATGGCACGAGGCAGGGGAAGGGGACTCCTCCCCACCCCACCCTCACCATGGGCGGAGCTGAAACGTCAACCCTCCACTGAAGCAAAGTCCCCCTGGGCAGAGTACAAGAAGAGCCATCCCAGTGAGCGAGAGTTCCAGTTCCCAGTGAAGGAGGAAAAAGACGCAGCCAGTGAACAGGCACAGCAAGCTTACATGGAACACAGGAAGAAGCTTGAAGAAAGAAAGTCGTACTTGGAACACAAGAGCAAGCTGAGGAAGACGTCGTTGTACTTCGATGAGCGGGGGTGGGAGTACCCGTCCAGGGAATACCCCATGGATATAGATGAACGGCAGGGAGCAGCAGGACGAGGTAGGGCTCCTGGGCTTGGGCCTGAAGGGATCCACCGACGAGCACTGCTGCCGTACTTGGGACAGCAAGACGGTTCTCCCAGGCCTCTGGACGATGGAAGGAGAGAGGATCCAAGACTCAGGAGGACAGAAGACAGAGGGGCACCAGAGTTCAGGAACGAAGAAGACAGAAGGAGATGGGAAGAGTGGAAGAAGTTCGACGACGAGGTCTGCAAGCAGTGGAACTTGGAGTACAGGAAGTGGGAGGAGGAAATCAAGAAATGGGAAGACAGCGGGAGACAAGGGCCTCGGCCGCTGGCGCCACATGAAGTGTACGGCCAAGGCAAGCAGGAGTTTGATCCAAAGAAGGAGGAGGAATACAGGAGATGGCAAGACGACATACGGAGGTGGGAGCATGACGGGATGAAGGGACCGCCCCCTCCTGCTCCACAGGAGAGTCTGCCCCTGGGTCCGGAGCTGTTAGACAGGCTGGAGAACGATCGTCGGCAGTGGGATGAGGACCGGGCAAAGTACTTGAAAGAGCTCAGCATCTGGGAGCAGAAGATGGACCACTGGAAGAAGTTTGGGACCGGGCCACCCCCGCAGCGCCCTCAGGAGCCAGAACATCCCGGTCTCCCCGTGGACAGAAGATGGGAGGAGGATCGACGCAGGTTTGAAGAGGAACTGAGGAAGTGGGATGCCGACATGGAGATGTGGGAGAAGAACGGCAGGAGAGGTGCACCTCCCCTCCGCCCTAAAGAACCAAGTCTTCCTACATCGACAAATGTCGTCTTCATGGAAAGGCGAGGATTCCCATCCGAGGGTCAGTTTGACCGACCGTCTCGGACTTGGGAGGAGGATCATCGCAGGTGGGAAGAAGACATGCGCAGGTGGGAGCAAGGAGGACGAAAGGGGAACCCCCCACAAGAGCCTCTGCGTCCGTCTCAGCAGAATCAAAGGTCAGAGGACCGTCGTAGATGGGAACAAGATGGAAGGAAAGGCCAGTTTGAGAGACCAGATGAAAGGTGGCAAGAGGACCATCGTAGGTGGGAAGAAGACATGCGCAGGTGGGAGCAAGATGGTAGAAAAGGGCAGCCCCCACAAGAGCCTTTACCGCCGCCTCAGTTCGACAAGGCTAAACTGGAAGCAGAGCACAGAAGATGGCACGAGAGTCGGCGGAGGTTCGAGACAGAATTGAAGAAGTGGGAGGAGAATGGAAGGAGGGTACCCCCTCCACCGTCACATATGGATTTGCCCCCTCCCCTGGGGCCAGAAATGCCAGAGGTCGCTCGTAAGCAGTGGAAGCTCGACTGTCAACACTGGCAAGACCAGATGCGAGGTTGGGAACAAGGTGGCAGGCAAGGGCCGCCCCCCTCCCCTCCCTACCACCTGCTGTCCCAGGCCCTGGAGATAAACGATGCTGCCCGCAGACAGTGGGAGGAGGACCACAGGAGGTGGGAAGAAGACATGAAGAGATGGGAGGCAGATGGCAGGAGAGGGTTGCCTCCACAGGAGCCAGTCATGCAGATGCCTGGTGTGCCGCAGCATTCGTCAGCCTTACAGAAACCCGAGCCAGAGTGGAGAGAATTTGAGGAAAAGCACCGACAGTGGGAAGAAGATATGCGTCGATGGGAGGCTGGAGGGAGGAGAGGCACCCCTCCTGTGGAGCCTGTTCCTCCTCGCGTGCAGTCACCGGGGATGCAGAATCGTAACGCTCAGTGGGAGGAAGAACATCGCAAGTGGCAAGACGATATGAAGAGGTGGGAACTGGACGGCAGAAGGGGCATGCCTCCCATCGAACCCGTACATCCCTCAAACCAGCAGGGCACTGCTGCTGCTGCTCAAAGAGACTGGGAGCAAAGACACCGGCGCTGGCAGGACGATATGAGGCGATGGGAGGCTGACGGTAGGAGAGGAGTCCCTCCCCCTGAACCACAGCCACCACGGCTGGAGGAGGAGCAGCGTCGGGAGGCAGCCCTGAGGGAGTGGGAATCCAACTGTCGCCAGTGGGAGGAAGACATGAGGAGATGGGAAGATGGTGGCAAGCGTGGCTCGCAGCCGATCAAACCTGTCCTTCATCTCCCTCAGCCCAACATGGCGCTCGTCGAGTGGGAATCCCAGCACCGCCGCTGGAAGGAAGACATGCAGAGGTGGGAGATGGACGGCAGGAGGGGAGTCCCTCCACCAGAACCACGCCGCCCGCCAGACCAACACCCAGACAACTCACTCAAAGCTTTCCAGGAGAGACACCGTATGTGGGAGCAAGACATGGACCGGTGGGAGAAGGGCGGTCGCAAAGGTCAGGCTCCTCTCGAGCCTCTACCGCCCCTCCCTCCGAAGAATGTTCTCTCAGAAGAGGAGAGGAAGAAACTGGATGAGGAGCACCGCATGTGGGAGGAGGCCATGACGAGATGGGTGGAGGGTGGCAGGATGGGACCCCCACCTCGAGCTCCAGGGGAGCAGGAGGACATGCCAATGGGGCAGCCAAGGCCACTAATCCCTGGGCTATCTGGAGCTAGGATGGGAGGACCTAGAATGGATGGGCCTGGACCTAGAATGGATGGACCAGGACCTAGAATGGATGGACCTGGACCTAGAATGGATGGTCCAGGGCCTAGAATGGATGGACCAGGGCCTGGACCGAGAATGGATGGACCTGGACTGAGAATGGATGGACCGGGACCTAGAATGGATGGACCGGGACACAGGATGCCAGGTCCTGGGTTTAGAATGGATGGACCTATGCATAGACCTGGTCAGTTTGGAATGATGCAGCCAGGCATGGTGTCCTCAGCTCCCGGGCCCATGATGTCAGGACCTGGACCCATCATGTCTGGACCGATGGGCGGAATGCCGTTCTCTGGACCGCCTAACCCAGCCCTGTTTGGTAACATGGTGATGGGAGTGGCCACAACGATGCAGCTTGCCATGGGACAGATGGGGATGCCAGGGCAGCCCATCCAGGGGCGCCCCATGCAGCCAATGCCTGGACCGTCCCACATGAGCATGGGGCCCATGCCAGGGATCCCTGACCATCATCCACCCATGCCATTTGGGATGCCACCACCTGCCCCTGGCCCCGCTCCACAGCCAGCCAAACTAGATGTCAGTCAGCTGTTTGAGAAGCTGCTGAAAACAGGTGTGTTAGTCGTATTATTGTAACTGGTAGTTCATTTTTGGCTTTTCCTTGATTTAGAAGGCCTGCCTTATGCATAGTCCTGTATAGAGTAGTGAAACTCTTCTCAGTTCAGAGTGATCAGTTGTGTTTGAAGTCATGTTTGACAACTTTCCTTGTACCATTGTAAGGAGGTAGTTTATTATGTACTACTTTATTATGTTCCTCAGGGATTATCAAGAAGGTTGACGAGAAGAAAGAAGAGCCGAAGGTGGAGGAACAGAAGATGGAAGCTAAGACGGAGGAGGTGACCAGAGTTGTCGTTCCTCTGGAGGAAAGGATGGAGGAAGATGAACCCCGGGCGGAGCTGAAACTGGACACTACTGTGCCTCCCCTGGCACTGAAAGTGGAAGATCTCAAAACGTAAGTTCAGTAAGAACTCTAGTCCTTTTCAGAGGTAAAACTTCTTACTTTCTGGCCAAGCTCAGACTAAAGGACGCAGCATGACACTTTTTATTTAGCTGGAAGTGCGTATTTACTTAAGCACACCAGGTCTTTCCTACTCTAATTGATAAGTGTAGATCCAGGTCCTTGTTCTCCCTTTGAAACAGTGGCAGATGAAACGAAACTGTTATGTATCCACCTTGGAATCACTTTTACTGTATATCCTTTGTCCAACTTGCACAGATGAGTCATAATGGACTAACATTGACTGTCAACAACCGTTTTAGCTACTAGTACGTACTTTTTTTCATCACTTTATCACCTGTTTATCTTGTAAACTGTGCACTCAGCCTTGATGGCTACCATTGTACATCACTGATGGTAATGATAAACTTACATTCCTGCAGGCGGCACAAGGGAGTCATCAACCGACTGTACTGTGGCATCCAGTGTTCGTCGTGCGGCAGCAGGTTCCTTCCTGAGGAGACAGACAAGTACGCCAACCACCTGGACTGGCACTTCCGCATGAACCGCAGGGAGAAGGAGGGCACTGGCAAGGCCTCTCACAGGGACTGGTACTACGGTGTTGATGTAAGTGGATGGATGGATGTTTGCTTCAGTTTTCACACAATAAGACCACCATGGTGTATGCTCTTCCTTAAATCAACACAGTCCTCTGCACATTAATTAATAGAGGTTGTTTTGAAAGACTTGAGCAAATGGGAAAACATTGTTGATACATGTATAAAATCTTTTATATCTTTACCCTTACAGGACTGGATAGCCTATGCAGAGCTTGGTGATGATGAAGAAGGTAGGTGTCCATATCCTTCTTCATTTCTTGTAGTTCGTTATTCCCTTAGTATTATTGTTTGATAAGATCTTTGTACACATGTGACAATATGTATGGGACTGCATTCTTAGCACTACAGTAGCAACACCTCGCTGCAGCACAAAGAAGCAGTTGGTATGGCATTGAGGGAGGGGACAGACAGTCACTGAAATGTCTGCCGGTAAATCTTGTTTGGTTGTAAATAGGGAACATTGTTATATGACATTATTTGTTGTTTGTCCACAGACCAGGAATCTGCCTTCTTCGAGCAGCCTGTCGTCACCAGTGAGCCAGGAGAGGTGATCAGCTGTCCTGTCTGTACAGATGAGGAAAATGATGACGTGAGTAGTGTTTATTTTCCTTTAAAATGTTACAGTCACACTTCTGTGCGATGATTGAGCAATCAACTTTCCATTGTTTTTATGTTGATTTTATATGAAATTGATAGTAATCTTTTGTCACTGATCTCTGGTTTGCCAGATCTGTGACATCTGCCAGGAGCCATTTGAGCAGTTCTGGGATGAGGAAGAGGAGGCGTGGCATCTTAAGGACGCAGTCAGGGTTAACGGCAAGGCAAGGGCACTTTCATCTTCAGTACATTCAGAACAATAAACAACAACACCAACATACAACATTTCCTCATTACATTCCACCATAATAAATATTATTAGATAAACAATAGGTGTTTGTGCAAAATGTACACCCCTCTTATGTTATTGAAGTTCAAGTCTTGCTTGCAGTTCTTGATTCCTGCCGACAGGTAATTAGTTTGAATCCCATGAAGATATCACAGTGAACAAGGCAGTTAACCAGATACATGTAGCTTTTGAAACTGTAGTTTACTGCTCCTAATATCAGTTTTAGATGCAAGAAATTTTAAATGTTCTTTGCAGTACAAGTGTTGTTCTATTTGTGGGTATTTGAAGTTTTGTTGAATAATGATTTTCTCTTAACAGTTTTTCGCTTTTGAAAGTTTGAATGATTTGTGCATGTTAAAGTGTTGTTCTGCAATGCATGAGATGAACTATGTGTGGACATTCTTAAATTTTATCAAATTAAGAGTGATTTTCTCTTGACAGCAAAGTTAAATCTTATAATCCTATTTTAAATCTTATTAAAAATGATAAAAATTATCATCAGTATGTATTCTGACAACCATTTTTCCTATACATTACAGACCTTCCATCCAAATTGCTATGAAGACTATGACGAGGTAAGTACATCTGCAGGCTAAGTCTTTTTTACATTCCCAGATGCAGTGTGGAGCAATCTTAGGCCAGTGACCTTATAACACCACCGTGGGATTTCAAAGTAACATGCATGCACACGTGATACTGATAACAGTAAATATGCCAATCATAACACAGGCCGTAAATTCTCTGAAAGGAATGCAACTACGAGTAATTCACTTGATTTTCATTTCTACGAGAAGCACAGTTTCTTTCTTCTTCTTACAATTAATTGCATGCTCGTTTTCTCCTTATTTTAGTTGCTCTGTCCAGCATAATACTAGTGTGCATCACAGTGCATGACTAGGTCGCTTTCTGTTCATATCTCTTATTAAAGGCATCCAATGCAATTTCAGGGCAGCAAAACAAAAAAAAATATTCTAGATGAGGAAATCTGATAGACATTTACTGTCATTTCTTAGCACATTTTTGTCATCATTTCATACTTGAAGCATTAGCAATAGCACAAAAACAAGCTATGTGAGGAGTCCGTTTATTTTTTGGTCCCACCATGAAATTGCTTTGGGTTCCTTTAAGAGACATCCTTGAAAAATACAGTAACTTGGCCATCACTAGACGCATTTTAAGCAACCATGTAGATACAGTGATGTCTATTCAGTCACCATGAAATCAAAATATGGGGGTTTAAACAATTATTATATAAAGGTTCTGAAAGCATTATTGAAGCCAAGGCCTGTTTCAGTATTTTACAAGGCCTTGTCTCCTGTTGCCACTCTTTGCATTGGTACTACAAGCTATCTATCATGTGACATGTTACAATGTTGTGTTGATATGTTTTTTGCTGACTTGAAATAAAACCATGTTCATGCCCGAGCCGTGGTTGAACATGTTTCTTGTGATTGTACATGTATATCTGGGGTCTATAGCAGATGGTTTGGAACATGTGTCGTGGTACATGTATAGTACGTTTGGGGAAGATGACACCGACAGGTCTTGCATACTAGCTGATGCCCCCTTTGCAGTCCATTTCGTGATTTAGTATTCCATTTATAATGGAGAGTTTATGAATGCGTCCTCTAGTCGTTCCAAAATTCATGTTTGGTGAAGTTTTATTCTCAGCTATCAATATTCAGTACAGCCACAGTTCTTTCTTGCAAAATACAGAACTTAAAGTTAAAAAGCAGAAATTAGTAGATCCTGACAGCTTAATTTTGAGTTGATGCGTCAGTGCTCCAAATTTACATTGGCACACTTAGAAAATTTGGTTGATAAAGTTTAAAGTAGTGAGTAGAATGTATTGTGTTTGTGAGCTTATGGTAGGGAATAAGGAAGACTTGTAGGAAACACCCAATAAGACAGTTGGACGATGAAAAGTTTTGTTACATTTTGAGCAATGTTTCATTCATTCGGCTGACAGTCCATGTACGGTTTCAGAAGATATAAACAACTGAAGGAGACATGTTAAGTCTGTCTTGTGTAGAAAAAGCTTTTAAGGGTATACAGAGTTTTAAACGTTGACGTGGTCCTTGTCTCAAACTTACCCTGGTGTATAACGTGAAGTGTAACAAAGTATAACCTACGAGAAGTGGGCTTATGGCGTAGGAAGGAGGTACAAGCATGCTGCAATTTGCCCCCCCTCAACAGAGTTTCCTGGAGACCCCAACCCCTGCCGACGCACCCAAGGAATCCCCACTCGAAGTCCAAATCAAAATGGAAGCTGCGCAGGTGAAGGAAGAACCGATGGATGCAGCGGAGGAAGAGAAACCGTCAACATCAGCGATGCAGCCGCTCTCAAGCATTAAAGAAATCCCCTTCCTGTCAGAGGAAGCCCAGAACTCAGACTCGAAAGAACAGATGATTGTTAAAGAGGAAGTTAGTGAGAGTATGGAAGTGGGTGAAACAGAACAGGTTAAAACAGAGATGCAGAACATAATAGTGAAAGAAGAGCCCATGTCACCAGCTAGTAATCAGTGTGAAGCACCAGCACAGGTAGAGAAAGTTACGGTAAAAAAGGAACCTGAGAATGTGCCATCTCAACTTGATAACAATAGCGAACAAACGACTGATCAGATAACTGTAAAACAAGAAGTTGTCGATAACCCTGTTGAAACTGAACCTTCCGCTTCAGTGTCTGATAAGAAAGAAGTGGAGGAAAATGTTGCTGTAGTTTTGAAAGACAATGATAAAGCAGCAGAAAAGGTTGAAGTGGAAAACGTAACTCCAAGTCCAGTGGAGACGCCACTGGATAAACCTAAGGTGGAGCCTGTTGATGAGAGTAAAGGCCAGGCTATTAGCACGATTGGGGGTGGGAATAAGATCCCAGTGGTGGGGAGTGCCAGCCCATTACGTGGGTCAGCCATTTCTGTAGTTGGAGGTGGCAGCAGCCCTGCACGATTTAGAAGTAACAGTCCGATGCACTCCATACCTGTCATAGGGGCAAGTAGCAGTCCAAAGAGAACTGCTCAGGCTACGGCCAATCCAGAAGCCGCCAAAAAACCAAAGACAGGATCATTCTTTAAGTTAGATCCGTCTGCAAAAACAAAGTGATATGTTTAATGATCTTGTAATATTCTGAGGTGTTACACCATTTTGTAATATTCTAAGCTGCACTACAGTTATGAAGGTGGTGTTGTGAACATTATTGTATTCGTATATATTTGTATCCTTACAGAGAAGGTTAGATGCGTTGAGTTGTATAATCAATGTAAAGATGAACGTATAGTTCTGAAGTTGTCATGGGCATAAGTAGTGCAGAGAATGTGCCAAATTCTTTATAAAAGTGGACGTTACATTGACACTAATTTCGCATCATATGTTGTATTTGTTTCAATATATATAATGCATTGTACATATAGATTATCTGTGTAGCTATTGTCAACTCCACGAGTTTGCTTTTACAACATAGCTACATCGTAAGGTGAAACCAGATTTCTGTGATGCAACTTGGTTATGAAATTAAATATTGACAAATGTACAAAGCCTGTAACAAAACGGAGGACCAGCTTGTATAAAGTTCATACTATTGAATACTTGTATCATACATTTAAGATTTGGTGCAAGCTTACTGTTAGATTCTTTTTGTTTCATTGATACAGGTACTAAGAAGTGTCCACAAAAAAAGCTGTTATGTACTTCGTTCTGACGTTAAACGTAATAATCACGCCTCCTGACTTAACTCGGTGGTAAAAGCTTTAGTTCACCTTGTGCTTTGCTTTGTTATATGTATAAAGTGCAATTACAGAAATGTCATACATTTTTGATGGGTGCCAACTGATGTTGTAAAGTTTTGTGAACAAAGAAGGAATGGGCCAGGTTGGTGAAAGAAAATAAAGGTTCGTATGATTTGCAAATGGCTGTGTTGTAATACTTGTGTGCATTTTTTTAAATGATGTAGATGGAGTTGGGGCTTTATTTCTATGCTGTTACAGATTGCTGTTTATGTATTTGTTTTCTAATATCCGACAAGAAGAATATTTCAAAATCTGTTTGTTACATTTTGGGGAGCAACAGCGATATAACTGAAGCCCTTACACTATCTGTATTAGTATAGCGGTATGTAACCGCCCTTCGGCATAACACACCATCTACGCTAGCTGCTTATCTTAATATACAAGATTAAAGCAACCAAATTTGGATTGTACTTCACCTGTGAAAAACCCGGCTTTTTTGTTGGATGTTCAGTCAACGTTAATCAGAATTTTGCCTGTTACAGACGATATATTTTCTGACAACTGTATGAAATACAGGTATAAACATGAAAATTATAAATGGGATGCCATCCAAAAAAGTTTGCCATGTGATTTGAACATTTTCAATTGAGGAATAGTAAATGTTTCTCATTGACAATGCAAATAAGATCCTTATTTACATTAATTATAAAGTTTATCATATTATCCACCCAATGACAGTACTAACGAAGAAAGCTTTTCTTTTTTGCAAATCAGAAAAAAATTAAGAGGCGAATCCGAGAACCAACAAATGATGGTGTTGCCTGAGCAGCTTGTGTTGGAACTGCAGGAGCAATTGTTAAAAACTTGGGTAGAGTGTGGAGAAGGACAAAAGAGAGCACGGCCTTGCCAGTGTTAACCCACTGGATAGGGCCGCCTGGAGGTGCAGTTTGAAGACCAGTACTACTAGCCCACTGCTGTCGCCTCCTGTGACAAGAACACCAGCAGCAGAATAATTAAATCCTTGATATTGAGTGTGAGTGAGGAATGATAACTATAACTTTCTGATGTACAAAGTCAGAGATAATTGGTCCCCTCCATCCAACATCATAATGGCTTAGAACCCTATTTAGTGAATCTTTTTGATAGAAAAGTTCTAAACAGACAATTGCTCCCCATCAAATAAATGGAATATTGGCTTTTACCGTCAGACGGTCTCACAGCGCTATCTAGGAACAGTAATTGGTACTGCAACACCTTCAACATAACGAAGAAATGTACGCCTACTGTCTGTTGTACGGCACTTATCTGTTGCCACAGAAGGTGAGTGGGAAACGAACGTAGCAATGAAGAGCAGAATCATGGATAAACCGCTTTATTGTTTTAGTGATCGATCGATATCGATTAATATGCCACATGGAACAGGATTCCCCGGGGATTTGCTTTTACTAGTACGTTGTTGTCTTTTAAAAAGTTACTAGTAGTTTACCGCGACAACCGCGATACAGATTTGAAGAGAGATACATATTTAGTGATGACGGGAACAACACAGTGAATATCAGTGAACTCAGTGTGTACTGAAATGAGTCAATAGCCCGCCTGTTGCTGGACACTGTGTTATTTTGAAAAAGTACAATCATAGGTATTCATATGCTTCCAAAAAAACAAACTTTAAGCTGAGTGAAACTTCTATATTTTAGTCACAAACCTAAACCCAAAAGACAGAAAATCCCATGGGACAAATACTTGCACTTTTACTGTAGTCCGCTAGGTAGCGCTATTGCTCCACCATCAAGGCCGGAGGAAAAGTTTGACAGTAAGTTTTTCTCATCCCTTTAATAATAGCCCACAGCTCAGCTCATTAGAATTTGCCTGTATACCGTTACTACTTTAATAAGGTGTTACTTATAATATCAATCATTAATGCGAATCATTGCATGGTCTTTGGCCTTAAATTTTGTCAGTGATGAAATATATTTCATCACACCCGGACCGGCACCCCCCTCCCCCTCCCAACTTTGAACTAAAGTTGAGTTTGGTAGGGAGGGTGGTATACGTAGAGGCTGAAAGACATGGAATTGACCGGGCAAGGAGTATATTAAAGGGCCACAACTGTTGAACAGTGATGTACTTTAATGTCGACAGTTGAGGTCTCCTCAACTGGCACATAATAACTTGTTGAGAAAGTATTTAACAATATAACTAACCATTGCCTCTAACAAGCCATATAAATAAGTAACTTAGATGCATCTATTTTTTTTCTTTGACAAAGTTTGAGTTGTGTCATTGTACAACTTTTACTTTACACTAATTTGATGCAGCTGATGCAAATCAGAGAGAACAAATGGAATCTACAATTCAGCATACAGTACTATTAAACTTAAACTTATAGAATCTGAAAATAATTAAGAAGAACATGATTTTTTTTCAGCAAACTCAAAGACAGCATGGAAACTAAACTCTTAATCTAGAGTTGATGCTGCAACTGGTGTAATCTGAAAAAAAAGGTGAAATCACTCCATTAGAAAATCGGTCTGATAATTTAGTTTAAATACAAGGATAATATTGATCAGCTTTACAATTGCATTGTCATCATTGATAAAACAACTGGGAATTACATATATATTATAATTATGTACTAGTAGGTAATAAAATCGTACAACTGAATCTATATACTTACTGCTTCTTACTGCTCAGGGCCATCCTAGGGGTAATACTGTAAAAACAAAAGAAACTCATGTGAATCACAAAACAACACCCTCTCTGACAATGTAACATACCTATGAAAGTTTGTCATCTTTGCTGGTAGAAATAATTTTTGAGCAAAGTTAAAATTGGACTTACCTGTTCCTGAGACTGGTGTTAGACGATTAAGACTTTGGATAAGTCCAATTTTCCTATTATGCTTTAAATAACAGTTCAATTTGTGTTCAATGTTAATAATAATAATAATGACTAAGTTTCTGGCTCACTTACCACCCTCTTCTCCAGGTAGCCTGCATTGCACACTCTCCAGAACCACCTGTCTTCATTTCCCACCTCTTCGGCAATGATGTTCACCTCCGGGCCAAACCCTCCCACCATGATGTCAGGGAACAGGAACTCAGGTCCAGGAGGTGAGATGGTTTTGAAGGTGAAGTTAGTCACCCTCAGTCCACCACAGATCTGAGGAAAAAACGTTAAGATTGGTGAGGAAAGTTGTTGGTGACTTACAACTTGTCAGTATAAACGCCATTGAGGAAAACTCACAAAATATTTGGTACACACTGAATAAAGCCGATGTTTCAGTGACCGTCTGTCACCTTCCTCAGGGCAATACTGACTGGTTAACATTGAATAGCACACTCAGTCAGGTGTTGCTGCAACAGGTGTGTCTCTTTATTTAGTGACTTACCAACCTGATGAAACTATTCTTTAACTTATTCACAGGTATTTGGCAGACACTGCTTAATGACCAGTTCATCCACAGATGGTGTTATTCAATCAACAAGATAGGACACAAAACCTCGAGATCAAGAATACTTGACATGGGCAATTTAATCCATCCACATATGGACACACCAACCATCTCTCGTTCAGAGAGGAGGTGGTTGGCATGAGGTTCCTGGTGCCAAAATGTTCAAAATGTCTTTTCTGTGTGGGTACAGGCAGTACATATAGCAGGAACACTAGTAGAATCAGCAATTCTACCGGTAGAGATCTCGATGAGAGTCTTTTTCAACAAAGACTCTGATCACAGGAGTCTCTGTTTATGTGTTGGGATAGTTTCCCATTTACAGATCCTAAATTTCAAGTCAATCCATTGATCTAAACAAGGAGGTTAAATACCTCCTTGATCTAAAGTGACGTGAATCAAAGTTGAAATGTTCTGTCTTCTAAGCAAATCGAGATCTCTGTTGATAGAGTGTGATTCTACCAGCAGAGATCCCTATTGGAGTCTCAGTTGATCAAAGTTTCTGTCGACAGAGACTCGGTTTGCTTACCAGGGCACAATTCTTGATGGCCACCTCTTCAAACTTTGTCTCCCTGATGACCACAGTTGTGAAGAGTCTCCGCCCCTCTTTGGTGCAGATGGTCACCTTAACTGCTGAACATTGAAAACCAATGTTACAGCAACTTGAAACATTTAAAGCACATAAGGACTACCATGTACATGTACATTGTATCAGATACGCTGAAGAGGTACTACTAAGTATACTTGTTCAAGCTTGCTACATTTTTGGTTGGGTTAACTCTCTTTTTCTGCATAATTACCATGCCTAAATAGCACTTGAAACCATGTGAAGTTTTGTATCTTCCAAATCATAGTCCACCAAGACTTCATTGAAATTGGTAAAAATTAATTTGTAAACATGCAAGGACTCAGTACTGCCATTTTTTTTTACTTTTGCAGAGAATAACACAATAGTGTGGGTCTTGCCTGCTGATGAAACAGGATGGCAAAGTCAACTCTCAAAAACTGCAAAGGCAAAGAGCTGAACAGTGACTTCAATTGCTTTAGCAGTGCATTAGGAACACGAATAGCCCCTACAACTGGTAACAACTGATTCTACTGATTTGTATGTTGTGAGTTTGTGAATGCATTCGAAGTAACTGTGAAGATCAAAGGCTCAGTTCAACTCTCGCCAGCCTTTGCACGAACTAGCTTCACTGTGACCAAAATTTTGTGGCATATTGACCACGCTCATATCTGGAAGGGTTACTAAGTTTACATGTATCAAAATTTTTGAGGTATGTTCAGTTCAAATTGATTCAAATTTCTTACCTTCCCGAGCAACAGGTGTTGACAAAGTGTGCCCACGTTGTGTGTAGGCCAGCCTGAGGATTGCTGGTGTAGTAAACTGGTGGTGCAGCATGGTGAAGATAGCCGAATCCCTGGAGTTGAACATTCTGTAACCACTGCCACACATCTGAACAGAGGAAGCTGCCGAGAGAACCTGGATCTGCTGTTGAAATGTCACATAAATTATCGTATTAAAATACATTTTCTTTCTACCACACCACACAAGATCGTCTTGGAATTTACTTGCTTCTTTTTAAAATTTTTTGAACAGACCAAAAAGTTATTTAAAAATAACTTTTTGGTCTGTTCAAAAAGTTTTATCCATAACATTTCATTGCAGGTAATTTTCAAATTTTCAAAATACAAAAAAACCTGGAAAAAAAAATCAAATTACAGATAAACATGTACAATGTATATGGGTGAGTGAGTATATGGGTGTGGAGTCAATATTTTTCTTATCTTTTAAAGTAACAAAGCCATATATAAATAGCAAGTCGAAAGAACAACCTACACCTGTGCAAAACACAGATTTTTCAGTTATTTTTGGATGTTAGGTCAACATTGCATCAGCATTTTGTCTGTTGCAAATGACATCTTTTCCAAAACAGCATGTGAAAACTATGGACAAGATTATTTAGCGGCATATGCCATCCTTAGATATGTGAAAGACCGTTAATAAAGAGGCGTTCTGCCGAAATGCTATACACATTGAATTACAGGTTTTGCACAGGTGCAATACTGCCAGCTTGCTCATATATGACAGAGAGTTAAAGATGACAGGAGGAAAACCCAAGCTTTTCACCTTTCTGGTCTGTAGGAAGCCCCTGTTGGACATGTACCAGGTCCAGTCATCGCCCTGTAAGTCCACCTGGACCACCTGTAGATCCAGGACACAGTGGAAGGCACCAACTGTCTGGTCCAGGTCAACGGTAGACAACACTGTGTTACCAGAGAGTGTCCAGCTCTTGTACTGCAGGCTGAATTCAGCCAGCGGCTCTACTGCAAAGATCTATGAAATACCAAGAAAGATGGGTAAGTACAAATAACTTAGAGGTAAACAATCATGTCTTTTCAAAAAGTGCTATTGGTGCAGAATGCAGCATTGCAAAGTTGTGGCACTTTTTTTGCTTCCTCTATCTTATAGATTGGCACACTCCACCCAAATGTAGCAGAAGAGCAATGTCACGCAATACAGCTATTAGATGTTACAAGTTGCATGCAATGGTCAGTGGTTAATGCACTTCTCAACAAAAAAATTGGGATATACGTTGATGTGCAGTGGATATTTTCATCAAAGCTTGTACATAATTTTTAAACACATACAGCTAGGAATGATGGCATTAACCCATGTAGTTTAGATACAAGTAGATACACCACGAGGGTAAGTTTTCACATCTTTAGTAAATTTTATTGCTAACGTTTGAAAGACAGAGTGACCCAATTTACGCATGGGCAAAAACCTAATGTGCAACAAAACTGTTTGCACATACAAGCGTACAAAAACTGCGTATGTTGAACTTGGGTGAAAAATGGCCTGCTGCGACAAACGTAACGAAACACACGTTCAGATTGTACACCAGGCCTCAAAGTAACGTAAGATCTGAAGGTACGTTCTTGATGTATGTCAAAGCAGCCCGATTTACACGTAGAAAAATATGACATACACATTTTTTTGTACACTTGCATGGGTACAATACAGGTCATGAATCACATTTTTCTCTGGTACCTACCTCAGAGGCCACCAAACAGACCAGTTCTTTGAAAGTTACCTGAGGCACAACCCTCATGATGAGAATTTTCTGCTCACCACTGTTGTAAACTGTTACCCGGACTGAAACAAGGAATTTAAAAGTTTTTACAGATGTTGAGTTTTTGAGTTTTCCGTTGGATATTTGGTCAACATTGTATCGGAATTTTACCCATTGCAGACGATATCTCTTCCAACACAATATTTGAAAACTATAGACGGGATGTCTAGGCAAATATGACCTGAAACGAGACATTCTGCCAAAGTGCTGCATGTATGAACAATACATTATGTGTTCTGTGCAGGCGCAGTATCTTCTGTTAACAATTTCTAGGTTAGACTGTACTTACTGGAACGTGGTAAGCTTATCCAAAAGTCGTCCACTGGTGAGTAGATGACATTTCCACTGCGAGAGATGGTAACAGGTCGCATCTTGGACCTCTGTGGCACACTGTACGCCATTTTGCATCAGCTCCTATCAAAAAATATGAGATCTCTCTTAGTTTGAAGTCTATCGACAGTGTGATGATACAGTGTATACATGTGTTTTGGGAGTCAATGAGTCAAGAGTTACAGTCTTGGTTTTGCATCAAAGCTGCCAGACTCTTAAAGTAAAGGCCCCGTCACACATAGCCGAATATGGCCTCCTGAACACTGCTGAATCAAAACTTGCAAATTCTAATTCAACCTGTTTCAATAGGATATTTTGCAAAACATGGGCTTACACAACTTATACAGAAATTAATTACTGTACAGTTAAATGAAATGAAGTTTGTTCAGTCTAAGTCACAAATTTAACTCATGGAACTCCATTTGGAAAATATTAAAAGCCTTAGGATTGCTGTCTTCATTCAGTCATTTCCATGTCAGGTTAATATATGCAATATTCACACACTTGTTATTTCCATAATGACTTTTCCTTACATATAGTTCAGCAGTAAAGTACCTATCATAGTTTATGTATGGACAACTTACATGGAAGTGTGCTCTTTGAAATCATTGCATCTGACTTACATCTAATTTAAAAGTTGTCAAAATGGAACTGGACTGAGAACCTACGTTGGTACATACATCAAATACAGCTCATGGCATTCAAACTGGTCCAGTATAAGTAAGCAAACCCAAATAATTTTGCATGCTCACAAAACAATTTTGGTATCTCAAGATTTACATATAAAGTATTCCTGTGCAACATTACATTGTTAAGATAAAATTTTGCTTTTCCTTGCAATAGTTCTGGCTGATTATTGAAAGAGTGATACTGTCAGAGGGCTACTCAGGTTACATGTCAACATGTATTGCACCAAGATCTGCCGTACCCTGTTTTGAGTTCCCTCCCCTGTCAAAACATCTCTGTACGTAGTGTACGATAATAGACTTCTTTGTTATATGTCAAGTTTAGTCAGGCATAAAATCTAGTTGTACTATTGGCTTATTATATACATTACCTGTGCTATAGATCTCGTATTTTTCTTCCACCCTATCTCAGGTTTTGAACTGTTACTCCAGTAACAAGATGGCGAGCTTTCGCGGTTCGGTGTTTAACTAATGGCGTACACAAGGTCAAAGGTCCTACTGTGGATTCGTCCATTTTGAAATTTAAGGTCAAAACAAATAAATCAAGAAGATTTGTAAATCCGGACTGATTGCAACAAATAAAGTCACAAAGCTATGTTAAACTTTTCATAGCCCTTGAATTTTGGAATCAGTTAAAAACAACTTAATTCAGTGTTTGGCAACTCTTACATTTCTCGTGTTGGAATGGAATAGTCCATATCCCGTTCCGCCCAGCTCGAAATGCAGGGTACAGGGGGCGTGCATAGATGACATAATGGGGCCGTTCGTCAAAAACCAACAAAAGTTCATTATGTTGAAAAAGCAAGAATGACAAAAAAAGTACAAAATAAAAAGTTACAAAGCCAAATGGAATGTTTCTTTATGTCTTTATTATACCCTTTCATGGTAATAAAGGCTTAACATTCGTCCCTTGAAATTATTATGGTTCACTGAACTTGTGGACTAACAGGAAATGATGGGGCCCATGGGTGAGTCAAGTCGATTCTTATGAAGGTAGAATAAAGACTACATATAACTGTTACAATGAAACCACCAAAGATTGGCTCAAAAATCAGTTCTGTTTTTCAACTTACCTTGGACAGAGGACAAAAAAACGTTTACTATATCAATACTATATAATGAACAAGTAAATATCTTACCTTAAATTCCATGATGCTGTTGACATGGGATGTGTTTGCCTTGTGCTGTAAACTTCTGCCTTGTGCTGTAAACTTCCCTCAATCTACCTTCAATTTTGCAAAAACTCAGTTCGGTTTGTCTGTATGGGAAATGTTGGTCATATCACAGATAATTTTTTTTCTCTCTTTTTTTCCAGTTGGAGATTTTGGTGAGCAGCCGCCCTGGGATTGCAAAAAAGCTCCATGCTTTCTTTTCTTGCTTGACTGCAGTCATCCATGAGCAGGGTTGGAGGTTGTTTTTTTTCTGCAACAGACTCCAGAAGCTGGGAGAAGATTTCCAAACTCTAGAGCTTTGGCACCCATTCTTTCATGTAGCAAGCAACCATAGTCTTCAACAATTGCTTCAACTCTGAGTTTTTGGTAACAGTTTCAGATCCATGCTCTCTTTGTTTTTCTTTGAACCAAGTTGTTGCAAGCTGGATGCAGACTTGTGTTGTCACACTAGTTGAGACTGGCACTCCTTTCTTGAAAGGGCAATATCATGATTCATTACTTCTAAACGTTTATCCACAGTTCTTGGTCTCATTAACTTCCTTGGTGCAGATCTTAAGCTTCTTCATGATTTCAACAATAAGCATAATGTGTAGAATGGCCTATCCATTGGAATGATGATCCCAAGATATGCTGAGTGCTACTACCAGTTGAAGTATTATGGTTGGAAAGTTGTAAGCTGGTGGTCCCATGTTTTAGAATACTAGCACATGACAAAGAAATCCCATTTCCCAAAATGTGCCAGTCTGTGATGACTTGAAGTTCTTGTCATGGATTATGCTGGCCTGCTCCAACAACAGACCCTGTGTTTATGCCATGCATGCGGATTTTCTTGTTATGTAGACAGAATGGAGATCCATAACGTCATCTATTATGTCCAACAGTATGTCTTCTTCTATGTCTCTTGCTACTCTTGTCAGTAGCACAGGCTCTAAAGACTTTTGCCTTTTGAAGCATGGCTGAGGCCACAGCATTGTGTCCAATTGGTTTCTTGGCTTTTTTTGTCAGATAAGACATCTGTCTTGGTGGGATCATGATTACTGTGCAGTCAGAATCTTTCTTCTTGTAGGTCCTGAGAAAAAAAAAAAATTTTATGTACATCATTATTTACAGCCATCATACAAATATATGTAAATTGCTTAAGTACACATTTATTGACATTCTGGTAGTATGTAATCTATAGTATAGTAAGTCTTATTTCTTGCCCTGGCTAGTTTAGCACTATAGGGGAGCCTGTGTACCAGTCATTTTGTATAATGGGGCTCCAAAGGGTACAAAAATGTATAGCTCCCAGGCTAATTTTGGAGTGCAACAATTATTGAAATAGCAGTTTGAAGAAACGGGGGCCAAAAGTTGCAAAACACAATTCTTTTTTCAACATGTATGAGACACTCTGAGTAATAGCAGAATTTAGCAGGACGTGCTAATTTAAGAAGGTGAGAGCATGAGCAGAAAATAAAATGCAGCATATCTTCTGCAGGCAGTGAAAATTGTGCTCAAAAGGGAGTGAAACATTGTTTTTGTTAGTTGAAAACTTCACCTGGTATATAAAAAATGTCCGTACTTATTCTCCCGTGCTATTAAAGGACGAAGCTAAAAACTAGATATTTTTGGAGAAAAAAAAGTGCAATGTTGTAACCTCCATTACCGGTATTCTGTATATTTCAATGAGAACGGGCCTGTTGTGCCATTGGGAAGACACTTTACACAACTTTCCACAGTTCACTCAGGTTTTTCAAGATTCTAAAAGATTCAAGATATCTTTATTGAGCTATCGCAGTGAGAATATCACTGAATTGCAGTCAATTTACGGACAATTTGTTTTAAAAACGCTCACAAAGACAAATAATATTGCACATAATTCTGAATCCTTTGGTTAAGAATACTTGTTTGCAGTAAACTATATTACTGCTCGTAAGACTAAGATCTTTTAGTTACAGCATAAAAACGTTTAAAAAATGTACACGCAATATTTGGAGTTATTCAGTTTCACATGGTTAAAAGTAAATAAATTCAATATATATGTCACAGTAGAGATGGAAATCCAGTAGAGTTGCCAACTCTACTAGTAGAGATGACAATTGGCAGTAGAGATGGGAATCGTATTTATACGATTCTAGCAGGGCACAGTCATATTAGTTACCTAAAAATGTTTTGGAAAATAGACTGAATATTTTCACACCTCAATCATTACCCAACATCACTTAATAGCTGTTTGTACATGCCACTGAAATGTAAAACAGGGACATTTGCATCAGGCCATTATGAGTTAGAGACTCAATGTGCTAAACCGGTTTTTCCAGTTTAATTATAGTTAGTGACTGGGTATATAAGAGCTAATCAGTTATACCCAGCCAGTTCCAAAGTTGATGTCAAAGTGAACAGATCAGATATGGCAAATGATGAGCAGCAGAAAGCAGAATTCTACAGACTGGTTGAAGAATTTAGTAGTAATTGTGAATGTAGGCTTACCTTATAATATGATAAATTTGAATCTTTAGGTGTTCAGTCTATTTAAAAAAAATTGTTCCTTGCTAGAATTGGAGAATATCCTGGTCTAACTCAAAGAATTCCCATTTGTCCTATAAAAGATTAGAATTCCAATGTCTGGTAAGAGAATCTTCTCAGCCAGAATTGGCAAGGCCAGAGCAGCCTTTGTCATGCTGAAGAACATCTGGGCCTCCAGGGAAATCCACATGGACACCAAGGTACGCATTTTCAACTCCAACGTCAAGTCAGTCTTGCTGTACGGGTCAGAGGCATGGAGAATGAACAAGTCAACACAACACAGGATACAGACGTTCATTAACAACTGCCTCAGGCGCATATACAACATCAGATGGCCGGAGAAGATCCGAAATGAAGACCTGTGGAGTAGGGCAGGACAGGAGCCGGTTGCCATACAGATCCTGAGAAGGAAGTGGAGCTGGATCGGGCACACCGTCAGAAAGCCAGCCGACAACACCACCAGGCAGACTCTGTCCTGGAACCCAAGAGGGAAAAGAAGGAGGGGCCGTCCCAGAAACTCTTGGAGGCGAGACACGGAGAGGGATCTGTCTGAACTGGGAATGTGCTGGAAGGACGTTGAGAGAGAAGCCCAGAACAGAGCTAGATGGAGGGAAATCGTCGGTGGCCTATGCTCCGAACGGGGCCAAGGGCCCAGGTAAGGTAAGGTAAGGGTAAGAGAATCTGGAACACTCCCAGTAGATATTGGAGTAAAAACACCAGGATTCCCATCTCTACTAGTAGAGACTGGAATTCCCATCTCTACTAGTAGAGTTCCCAACTCTACTAGTAGAGATTGGAACTCAGTAGTATAAATACTAGGATTCCCATCTCTACTAGTAGAGTTGCCAACTCTACTGGATTTCCATCTCTACTGTGACATATACAAGTTATATTGGCTGCCGTAGTGGGGGTGCCAAACATATATAAGTTCCACCGGCAGTCGAGCCTCGCGCCCGTGCATTACAAAATACGGCGTGAATTTGGATGTCGAGTGCTCACTGGTATGGTAATGCAGATGGTCTAGACGTTTCGGCCACATGTGCTGGACGTTTCGGCCACGTGCCGAATGTCCCAATTCTGGACACTTCGGCCTCAAACAAGCAAGGCGAAAGCTAGCCTGTGTTACACAAGCACTCGGCCGGAGGTTAATGCGGCAACTTCGGGGCGGCCGGCCGCCAGCAGCGCGATTAGTCAGGCTAGGCGAAAGCAAACATGGCAAAATGAATGTATATTCTTGACAAATGCAGTCATATCTCATTCTTATTTTCTTTTTCAGAATCTGTTTCCTACGGTGCTACGGTACCATCGGCGATAGAATAAAATCCGTTTCATTAGACACAAGTTCGTGTTTCTTGTCATTAGTTTTCCAAGTGATTCTTACATTTCATTGGAAATCATATGAGCAGGTACGCAGAGACGTCGTCGGACAAAAGGGCGCGGTCCCTTTTGACTTGAAATCTTATTGTCAATTTACTCCGAGAGACGATGAGTATACGGACATACTTTATTTTAGTACAAGATAGCAACTTAGTATTTCAAATATAACTGAGGTGAGTTTTATTGCAGTATGTTCGAGAAGAGTATGAAACGTATCACAAAAAGGAGATGTCCAATACACTTAATTATTCCACAGATTTTCCGAATAATCGGTATGTGTTCATACACCATATATCTGATAACTTAGTATTGTCAATAAATAACGTGGCCGAAGTGTCCCCGGCATGTGGCCGAAACGTCCACCGCATGTGGCCGAAGTGTCCTAAAATGTCCATGGCCGAAGCGTCCATGGGCCGAAATGTCCTGCTTCCGTATAAACGAAATTTACAAATGCCATCAGTGATGATTATTGTCCGTACTTGTTCAGTAATGAACACATGTATGGGATAGGGGAATTACTGTAACGGTTTGTTCTGGCCCGTGGGCAGTTCAGTTTCTGGGAGTTTCTGGTTGCACGGCCTGAGACTTCTCTTCTCGTAGGGGGTAGCCATTCCCTGTACTCTGACGCGAACAGTGTTCTTGCGAATTTTAGACATAGCTGCTCTCTTCTTTCAGCTAACGTAGTCAGTTCAAGGCGTTGAAGTGCACAGGAGTACGTTGTGTATGAGTCCCCGAGGATGATACGGCACGCACGTTTCTGTAGCCTTTCGTACCAACTTGGGATTGTGTGGGTCCAGGGGACCAAGCTGGTACACCATACTGTATACAGAATTATCTCCACACTGTGCCGCTGTAGCAAGGGTACCGAAGTAACGGGTTCCTCACTGGCCGCCCAGTGCGGAACTCACAGGGAAAGTGGCGTCGACACTCGGGGCCCTGTGCGGAAGTAAGCTCCGCACTGGAATTCTAGTGCAGAAACGGCTTTGTTCCAGTGCTGAAACACCGTCAGGCCTGGAATTCCAGAGCTGAATCTTGACTCGGCACTCGTTTTCCGGTGCGAACTTCCACTCAGCACTCGTTTGCCAGAGCTCGGAGGCCGTTCAGCACTGGATAGCCAGCGCTCGGAGGCCGTTCAGCACTGGATAGCCAGTGCTGAATTCCACTCGGCACTCGCTACCAGTGCTCGGAGGCCGTTCACCACTGGATAGCAAGTGCCGAAGTCCCTAAGTAACGGATTCCTCACTGGATCGTTCCAGTGCTCGGTGACTCTTGGTGCTGGAAGCCGAGTTCTCAAATTATTTCGGCACTGGGCTTCTGGTGCTTACGTCGGCCGCGCGGCGTACAGAACAGTATCGTAGGCCAAGTCTATGTCTGTAAAAATGTGAGGATCTGAGCCTTGCAGTATTGTCCTGCCGATCAACTTGTCGCCCCGATTATAATTTGCTTCCCGGGCGGTACGATCTCAAAAATATAAGTGTTAGAGTTCAAAGGCGGCATCTCGGTACCCTTTCTAAAGACAAGGTTTGATTTGCCGATTTAGAGTTTCCAGTGCTGAGGCCGCCGACACTGGACACCAAGTGTTGACGTAACTTCGGCACTGGAGATCTAGGACGGAAGCCGCCTGTGACCTCTGTACACCGAGTGCTGAGAAAGGAACTTTAGGTCGCTTTAGGTCCAACATCTTCTGCAGTTCTTCCTTCTTCTTTTGGAGGGAGTCCATCGTGTCCTGTAAGGTAGCGGGGAGAGTTGGAGTAGGGCTCCCCGGCGTCGTCTCCGAGCCAGCGTCCGAGTCGTCGGACGGGTCGATCTCCAGGCCGGGACAGTGTTTGTTGGCCTTCCCTTTCTCATGTAGAGCTGTGGGTTGTCCGCAACCCGGGCACTTTTTCTTCCGATCCGCTTTAGTTTTCTTACTCATCTTGCAGAATCGCTCCCTCAAAGTACAGAATTGCTCAAAGTACAGAAATGCTCCCTGTTGCCAGCGTGTCGGGAACGGACTGAGGAGAGTCGGTCGCGGAGAGTCCTGCTGTTTACCCAGCATGCTGTGCGCGGGTAGTATGTGCCTTTTGAGCTGCGCCCCAAAAGTAACCTCCTTACGAAGCAAGTGTAAATCGTTGTCAAGTCAGTAAGACAGGCTGAATCTTCTCAGACGTTTCAAGAGGTAGAGTTTCTTGGATGCTGCCCCTAACATTGAGTTGACTTGTTTGTCTGCCATACAGTCTGCCATGATGGTACAATGATGGCTGCTCCAACATAGCTGTCACTTTCTGTGGTAGCCATGTTGGGGCAATCTGGCCATGGCAGAAAATAAAGTGGCAGCCATGTTGGGCAGCCATGTACCAACATGACAATAATTGTCCCTAAGTATATAACGTTAGATCTAAAAAGTAGTACCAGTACGGATTTGAATCACATTATGTTGAATTTGATTCACATTTTCCTGGCATTTTGAAGCAAATTCACATACAAAAGTGTCTGTACCTACGGTACCCATGTACATGGTCTTTGCACCTTAGCACACCATGGTGTTCAAACATTACCCTTGTTTTGCTGATCTTCATGACCCAATCAACCGACTCTTTGTAGACTTTTGTACTCTACTAACTGTTAATCTCACCCGACTGATGAACCTCATCGACGATTTTGTAACGTTATTTGTAATGTTATAATGTAAAAATACATAACGTATTTTACTTAAAGAAAAAAATGTTGGACAATGTTCAGACTTCGTTGGAAATAGTAGGAACCATTTTCAACGAAAGATACTGTAAAAGGTTAAACAAGAACACGAATATAATTGTTACCTCTTTTGGGAACTTTTCACTTCCGCCAGGTTGTGAGATCGCCCGTAGAGCCCGTATTTCGTAGAGCTAGAGATGGTCATCGACGTCGGTGTGCACTGTGTTACACCGACGACAGACGCCGACAGTATCATATAACTAGTAGGACTATGAAATGCTGACGACGCGCTCCAGGTAAGCCTGCATGAGCGTTCGGATTGGTTGGTTGGTTGGTTGGTTGGTTCGTTCGGATTGGTCCTGCGCACACACGACGCTGTAATGTAAATGAGTTGGTGACTCAGGACTGCTGATTATATATAGAGCTCGTAGACCTGGTGCCTATTGACAGAGTTGCCCTATTAGATTATGTGCTTTTTTTATGTGATTTTGGGAACCTTACAGTACGGCGTTATGGACTACATGTTGTACACGCCGATGTAACCTTCTAGGTAGGACACACCAGAGGACAGAAAAGGTAGGTATTGTTTAGAGAGCTGTAGTACATGTACTGTATTGTGTGAAGAAAATATGTGCCAAGTACTTCCATTTTCTACGGTGTAATTTGTAAGGAACAATCATAATCATACACCAGAACTTGGCCCGCTAAAATTGATATCACATTATGAAAATATTGAAATAGTACAATTCTAAGACAGGTAAGATAGCTGGATTTCAAAACAGAGGTAGCAGAACGAGTAACCTTAAACAACAGAGATATACTAGTAGCATACTCGGACAAATGGCTTGTTTTTCCCATCCCGTCTCCGTTCAGGTATATCCGGGCGCACATCTTGTACCCGCTGCGCATAATGTATAGTAAGTGTAAACCCTGTACAACCCTGATCATCTTTCGGCCGTATGGTTTACTAAGTTTGGCTCACTTTCCAGTATAATAGTACTGTGTCATACATTCTCGAACTCTTTGCCCACCCAAAAGTCAAGTCTGTAAATTCTACGCATGATTGCTCGTACACGAACTACTTTGCCTACCCGTGCTAAACAAAATATCAACAATCTACCCTACATATTTAAACGTCTTAAAATGTGGTGAAAAAATGCTTTTCCTTGCACATTGAATCTGCAACCCTCGACTATATACATAGCAACAGAAGTGCCCGCATGGAACAAGTACGACGTGTACGTCACTGGTCAGACACATCTTGTACAAGCCGTTGTGTGTGCTTCACACACACACAATTTTCTCTGTGTAGCCTTCGTATAGCATCATCGTCAACGTCCTATTGTGGAAAAAAAACATGTTGACAGAACCGAAATACATGTACAGAACAATTTTGACATTTATATACTGCCAAAAAAATTCCTCTTGCTATGGCTCAGAGATTTGGTGTAGGGCAGTTGGGACACTTTACTCATCATACTCAATGGTGTTATTTTGTATCCCTATTAGCAAGGACATTATATACCTGATATATTCTGTAGGATAAAACGGTTACTGTACTGCATGGACATACATGATCGAGGATCATGATCACCCCATGCATTACTTTGTAGCTCTAGGAGGGGAAGTTCCTGACAAAGGCAGGGTTCCCGCCATAACTGCCATGAGTTAACATGTGACACAATTAAGATCCACATATCACCAACAGTACTTCGTAAGGTCGCAGTCATATAAATCAGAAATTATCAATATACCTTGCCTCAGACTTAATAGTGAGTAGAGAGTCACACACCAAGTTACATGTACACAAATCTACACGTACACAACTTTATCGCCACCTCAGTGATGCGTACAGGTAAAGTACATGTACAAACATGGCGGCGCGAATGTCGTCCTCTGAACCTCTTACCAAGTGGAATGTAAAAGAATTGTACTGAATTGAAGAATCAGATTTCGTCCACGGATTTTACTGATCCAAACCGAGGAACAGCCTAAAATGCATTTTCGAGGTTTTTGTTTCAGCCTGCACAGGGCTCGGACTGTTCACAACTTGCTCCCGCGGCACCGCCGTCGCTCAGTCTCCACCGCTACGCGCTCCACCCGGCTCCACCTGCACCCGTTCTTTTTTCAACTGGCGGCCGGAAACTTTCATCAAAAAATCCTTGAGGATGGCCTAAAATGGGTAAAATCTGCCCAACCCACTGGTGTAATCAAACAAACAAACAAACAAACAAAAACTCACAAACTTTGTGTCCCTAGCATGTGCACACGTTTGTGCACCGTCGTGGTGAAGACAATTTCACCAACATGCACTCTGTGCAACATGCACAAACCTAACAATGTTTGTCGTGATCAGGAAATTCTTATCTTTCTTTTTCAGTTTGCGTGTCGAACTTCACTAAGTTGAAGACTGGACTATGCAGCAAACATGCTCAACATTTTGTTCATGTGGTACAAGAAGAAAACTAGCAGATATTCATGGTAAAACGTAATGTGTCGTATTTATTTTCCGTTCAAGATTCGGTGCTTGCCGCCATAATCATACTACCGATCTCTTTTTCTTTTGCCGTGACAAAGCTTTTAAAATGTCGCATTATTAGCACATTATTAGAAACCTAAATTACAAATCTATCACTGTATGGTGTCACGTTCTACCCCCCCCCCAAAAAAAAAACGGACTGCAATGCACTCTTTGTTACTGAGTCGCTATGAGTAACCATTCTGAAATCTCTACGCGAGCTGCAGCGCATTTGTATGAATGACCCCACATACAAATCCCTGCAGACAGTTCATGCGCCCGGTACAGGTAGTGGAGTGTTAAAAACTCTACATTGTAAGGTGTTCTACAACCTTCGCCACTGTGTGGGACTGAAACCACCTGTTAGAAGATCTAACAGACACAAGAACTCATTTATCCCTAGAACTCTGTATGATGATGTAAAGCCTTCAAGTCTCTGTGTGTACATTGTCGTTGTTGCTGTGTGCAGATTTTAATATTCTTGTATAATGTTTTATTGTTTTTAACGCTAATGATCTTTTAAACGAATTGTTCTTTTACAAATGTACATGTACTGTAAAATCAGCGCAATTTAGTCGTTGTGACTACCAAGTTGATTGCACAATAAAGTTTGAAAGTTTAAATTACACACAGTACAATGATGAGGCATGCCTGATATTTCTCTACCCCACACGGCAAGTATAAGCAGTATCGGCCTTAGAACGACTGCGATTTTCCTCCCCGTCATTGTAAACTTAAACGTCTTTTTAAAGTTAGGACCCGTCATAAATTCAGTATCCATCCTATTGTAAAATAACGAAAAGTATTTGGGATTTCTGGAGCTGACAGAATCAGAAAACCTACGAGTGTACGGAGCGTAGAGAGCGCCGAGGTCCTTTAAACACACAGAGTTTTCTTATGTTGTACGCCCAAATATTCAAAATTTTAACATAAAAAACGTGTCAACCAGTCGTGTAGAGTATGCACATAAAGTTTTACACCAAAATTGGTAACGATTACTATATATACTGCTGGGTCGAACTATGGGTATGTACGGCGGAGCGACAGGTAGAGTGAGGTATGGATATCATGGCAGTCAAGCTGTAGGCGTTGTGTATTGTACGTAAATGTAAAATCCCCTTTGGTGGGCCTCATGCAGCTAGTAGCACAAACAAAGCTCTAAGGTACCGATGTCACGTAAAGGTGATCCACGTCACTTCTGCCCCACGGGGTAAACGTTCCACCCGCATGTAAAAAGGGACAAAGGTTCTGAGCAATCTGGATAATGCTTCTTCTGATTTCGTTAAGTATATTGAATGGTGAATTTTGACTACCTATAACAACGTCCGTTGTGCTGAAAGGCTATTGATATTTTTGTATAGACAGGTGCGCCAATAGTAACTGCAGCATGCGATTCCGACGGTACTGTTGGCCTGGGGGGCCCAAACCAAACACGCACCCAAACCTGTGCGACAGACGAGATGAAGCGGCCCCAACTTCTTTTTTCACCGATTAAAGTAAGCTTTAATACTTGGCAACAGCTAGCTAGAAGTAAATGATATAGAAAATAAACTTTAACAGCGTTGCCAGCTCGCGTTGCTCTTGTGCTAAAATCCTAGTGGCATTTTTTCATAGACTCCAAGGCGGTTGATCCAGGGACCCCCAAACCAAGCACGCATTTAAACTGTGCGGCACACATTAGAAACGGCCCCAAATCCTTGAGTCTTTTTTTCACTGATTAGAATAACCTTTAATACTTGGCAACAGCTAGCTAGTAGTAAGTGATATAGAAAAACTTTAACAGCATGAAAGTCCATATGTGTTGGT